ATCAGAATTTAATAAAAATATAAACTATAATCGTACCTCTGCCATTGGGTTCAGATCCCAACGTATGGCCTCTACTGAAACTGCTGGTGTTCATCCCACCTAGCCCAATCCATGTACCTACGCTCGCATGCCATGAAACAAAAATATAAGAATGAAATGATAATAATATTTTGCATATTTAGAAGGATAAATTAATATCGGACCTCTGGTAAGATCTTCAGCTCCCGACGTCTGGCCTCTACTGGAACTGTGGGTGTTTGTCCCACCTTGACCCAAGGTACTTTGGCTAGTACCTGCTTTACTGGAACCGCTGGTATTGGTCCAACCCTGACTGCTTCTTGTATGCCCACACATTTGGTTTTTCTTGCTTTCCTTTTGAGATGCCTCCTTTCTTCGGCCTGCCCTTGCCTCTCTTTCCAACCCACAGTTATTTCGATCCGGCATGGCCCGGAAGAAGTTTATTGTACATCAATCTAGTGATCTCGCATTGTATTGGCTCCTCAGCAGCATCCAATTCTTCCACTAGCTGCCTGAACAACAATCTGTGAGGGGAAATATCATCCGAACTATCCTTCTCTGTAACCTCACCAATGTCAAGTGTGTTCCAAAATTGCTGTAAGTATTTTGGAGTCAAAATCTCGTTGTCCTCCGTTATACGCTTCAGAATACATGCACAAGGGATCGAATGAGTTCGCTTCAGGTAATGATTGCATTCTCAAAACACATCATCTCCGAGTTGAAGTGCCCTTTCCAACTCATTGTTCAATAGATCCAAGCAGTAGTGTAAAACGTTGCATCTTAATTAGTAAAAAGGGTGCTTGTTGTGTTGCCTCCCTATTTTCTACCTTGATTCTTGCAATTTCTCCCTGTGGAGGAATTAAAACAAATTATTTAAACAAACTAAACACACAATATATATTATAACCATATTTTAGAATGTTAAAGTCGAAATCCAGTACCTTATTTGTGTAAGCTGTGTCTCGACTAAAATGTGAACCCTGTGTCAGACCGTTTCAAAAGAAGCATTTGTTGTGCCGAGTCATTCCTTTAACAACTTGTATGCGCTCTACACTCTACAAGTAGTGTTGGTCCATGTATGCACAAACTTGTCTGCCACCACTAACCATATCTTCCTGACATACTCTAGAACGGGTTGACATTGAGACCAATTATGCTCGAGAAACTTCACTTTTTCTTCGTAATCTTCCCGATTTGCAGCTTCGATCACTATTTTAAAGGCCTTGTACGCAAAACTCTTTGCTATGTTCGAATTTCCGTTCAAAATTCTTTTCACATTTTTTTCAACATCCCTGTAAACGTTCCACATACACAACAAGTGATGTGATGTTGGAAATACATCATCAAGAGGCCTCATCAGTCCAGGCTCCCAATCAGTCACGATGACACTCGGATGCAGATCATCGCCATACAAGTTACGGAGCTGCCACAACGCCCAATGTTAGTTGTCCCCCGTCTCATCACTCAGAAGAGCATATGCTATAAGTAAGGTCTGATTGCAAGGGGTCATTCTAATAAACTCCACAAGAGGCATTTTATATTTGTTTGAGTTGTATGTGGAATCTACACAAAAAGCCCAATGATACGTCCGCAACAACAACAAAGAATCCGGATGAACAAAAACCACGTGGGATAACCTTTGTGTCTCTTCATCGCACTCCGTGAAGATGATGTATTTATGTTGTTCTGTGACCTCTAACACCTTTCCCACGACGTCCATGGAAGCCATGTCATCTAGAATTGGAAACCCCTCCTTACACAATTGATTTCTGTAGTTGTAGACTTGTTTGGAGGTAATCTTTTCATCAGAAAATTGTGTTCATATCGCCCGTAAAATGTGGACTACCTTAGTCCCCGCTTTAGAGTACTCCTGAATAAGCTCTTTCACTTTTGCACTCAGTGGCCTCCTGACTCAAGGCGGATCTTCCAATGAGTGGTTGTACATTCCACACGGACCGAGGTATACACGGATCGCCCACCTATCATATATTTTGTAAATAGTAACCCGAAACAGGCATCCGGTCATCTGTGTCTTTGTATTGAGTCGAGCACGCACGTTTTTATCCAACTGTTGATCTTGGTACCGGCCTCTTTTATGACAAAGGAGTATAATATTATTGTCCTTGTGCGATGATACACTTAACTCCATGTTGTACACATTCGCAATATCCTTCGCATATGCAATAGCTTCAGGCTTCGTGGCAAAAGTCTCGTCTGTAGCAAAAGCGAACTATAATCCTGCCCATCCCCCCAATCAAACTTATCCTGCACACATTAAAAATAAATTATATCATAACTTAAATTAATTCTAATAATATTAAACCACAAATAATTCATTATAAGCAAGAACAAAATATATAATCCGATATAATGATTTTATACTTTAAAGATAATTAATATATACTAATAACAAACTAAATACATTATTAACAAAAATTCATTATTTTAACAAAAAACACTAAACCCTAACACCTAAACTCTAAACCCATTAACATACTACCTAAACACCCATTTAACAAGAAACAAACTATTTCATACGAACATACTATGTAATTAACATAATTTAAACATATAACAATCTAAACACATAATTAACAAAAAATTAACTCATTTAATATAACAACTACAACCTATGAACAAAATACATAATTGAAAAATATTCTCTAAAAATTTAAGTTTAATATTTTTTATAAACTAATATCATAAACCCTAATTATTAAGATAGATAATCCATTTAACTAAACTAATTAACATAAATTTTCTAAATAAATATTAAACTACCAAACAAATACTCAAATAAAATAAATAAATTAATAAAATACATAAATGAATTAAATAAATTTATTAAACTAATAATTTAAATAAATAAATGATGTTAATTAAATATATTAAAAAATAAAAAAATTGATTAAATTAAAAAAAAATGGGTGGCGCCTGTTTGGGTGCCACCCATCGGTTTGCTCGCCAACCCGGACAAAGGTGGCGCCAAATCTGGCTCCACCTCCTTCGCCTAAGGCGAAGGTTGTCTCGCCTCCCTTTACAGGGAAGCGAGTTTATTTCATGCCACCCCCACCCCTATGAGGGGTGGCGTATTTCTCCTGCGCTATTCGTTAACGGCTGGCGCATTTATCCCTCGCCCTCCCCCCTTGTTTTGGAAAAAAAAAATACCTTCATGTGCAGAGGCGTATCCGTCTTTCGGAGGACGGTCAAATTAGAAAATAAGGGTGCTCAACAGTTCCACCCAAAAAAAATGGTCTCATACATTGGGAAAATTACTTATATATATCTCAAAAAATTTTAGAAGAACAAGATATCCTAATTAATTTAACTTAATCGTAATTAATTAATGGTAAAAAAATTGATTAAATCCACTTTTGCGTTTTTAAAGCGCGAAAAAAAAAGAATATTTTATTTAAATTAAAAAAGTAAATAGTCATAAAAATTTGATTAATTTGCCTAGTTTAAAATTTGTAGAGAAATTTACTTCAAAAAATTATTAAATTTTAATAATGAAATTAAAGGAAAATTTTATATTTATAATTGATAATCATTAAATTTTGAATAGAGTTATAAAGAGGAAAATTATTAATAGGAAAATTATATTTATAATTTTATTAATAGAAAAATTAAATTTTGAATATGAATATAATATTATAATTGATACTCATAAAATTAAATAGAGCTATACTAAATATAAATTATTAAAAGTATGAAATAATTATTATAATTTATTAAATTTTGAAAAAATTATATTAAAAATTTAATCATTATTTTACAAAATAATTTTATATGAAAAATTTTCAATAATGATAAATGACGTAATTTTATAGATTTATATTAATTAGATGTAATTTAATTTACAAATTTTTTATATTAATTATGACGTTTTCAATATAAGAAAAAAACTTAAAATATGAATAAATTTTAAGAAATATCCAACGCTTAAGATGAAGCAACTATTTTCTCTTCTTCGGAAACCTCACAGGGGAGACAGCAAAAATGTCAAAGCGAGGACGCGGAGGATCGGCGGGTAACAAGTTGAGGATGTCTTTGAGTCTTCCAGTCGCTGCGACGGTGAATTGCGCCGACAACACCAGGGTAAAGAACCTCTACATCATTTCAGTGAAGGGAATCAAGGGTAGGCTCAACCGTCTCCCATCTGCTTGCGTCGGTGACATGGTTATAGCCACCGCCAAGAAAGTCATGACCGATCACAGGAAGAAGATCATGCCCGCAGTCATTGTCCGCCAACGCAAGCCATGGCGCTCAAAGGAAGGTGTCTACATGTACTTTGAATATTATGCTGGAGTGATTGTTAATCCCAAGGGAGAAATGAAAGGTTCTGCAATCAGTGGTCCCATTGAAAAGTAGTGTGATGATCTTTGGCCTAGGATTACAAGTGCTGCCAATGCCATTGTTTAATGCACCGCATCTTAATTTTGAAGAGAACTATAGTTTACTGAATGTTTGTTTTAGATATCTGGTACTATCCTTTTGTGGATGTGGTAATTTTAATAGACGATTGGTATGTAAGAGCAATGAATTACATCTTTTGTTTGGATAAACTAAATATTTTGTTGTTTGTTAAAAAAAAAAGATGAAGCAACTATTAATTATTAAAAAAATAAAATATAGTTTGAAATAAAATAAAATTTTTGTTTTTAGATTTGATCGGCGAAGGTGTGTTTGATAAATATTAATAAAGTAGCAACGATGCAGGTGAAATCATTGTTTAAGAATATTAATACAAGTCATAACAAAATACTACAAGTCATACCAAAAGGAAAAAAAAAGTCATAACAAAAGGAAAAAAAAAAAAGTCATAACAAAAGGAAAAAAAATTTTAAAAAAAATACAAGAATAATAATACTACATAAAAAATCTTGTACCCTACTTCTTCTTGGACTTTCTAGCACGAAATTGGCTATAAGTCAATCTATCGGGCTCCTATGTCACTCTCTGACCTTTACTCACAGCCAACGATGGAGTCTCTAGAGTTTGACTCGATCCCTGCTGGTTTTCATCCTCGGCCTCATCCTCATCCTCATCTTCACCCTGACTCTCACGCTCACCTCCAGCTGGGTCATCAGTCTGATGCTGACCCGCAACACCCTCGAACATATTCTAAAGAAAGTTACTCGTGTAATGTAACGACTAACCTTCTAGAGAACTTTGCTGGAACACAGAAGAGTCAATAAAAGAATTTCCAAACTGATGCTGAGAAGTTTGAAGGGAGGAAAATTGAGTAAAGGCAAAATGGGATTACTGGTGCTAGGGAGACATAATGAACGGTAAAACGCATATTGGGTCGGCGAAGAATGATGTGGAGACTAATGGGATGAATGATGTGGAGAATGATGTGGAGACTGATGGGATGAATAATGTGGAGAATGATGTGGACACTGATGGGATGGATGCTGTAGAGAATGGCGTGGAGACTGATGTGGAGACTGATGGGATGAACCGTCAGTGAAGGGGATATGAGACTGCTAATGCTGGGAGGACTGATGTGGCTGAGTGGGCGTGATTGTCTTGCCACCCACGCCCACGCTAAGACCTGCGCGAACGCCTCGGAGGTCTGGGAGGTGGATACTGATGGGTCGGGTCTACAGGACCAAATTCTTGACACAAAATATCATTAACCTCAACCTGCCTCTCTAGTTCATGACGTACAACATTTATTGCATTGACGGACAACGTCCGCTCAGCAACCTGGGCAATCTCGTCTAACTGATCATAACCAAAGGAATCCTTGTCGAAAGTACGATGGCTTAAAATACTAAGACTGTGATCGTCCTCCATCAAAGTGGCCTGAAATTTTTGTTAGAAAGAATCGTAAATCGATAACAATGAAAATAAATTACATAATGGACTGTAAGCGAAAGAAATTGTACGAAGACTCACCATGAGGCGCAAGGTCTCTGCAGAGCCGTGAAAACCCCTCGTGTTTTCAGAGGCCATCGAATCCGTAACATACTTTACAGTAACCTGATAGTACCACAAGAGATACTCCGAATCTGGTTTAGGCTCGCCAACATAATTATCATCAGTCCCGACAAGTCTGTTGCAGCGATCATTCTAAACATGGAAATGTATACCTAGTTGTTGTATCCATCTCCTATCGGATCATCCAAACGGCTTCTTCTTAAGCAGGCTAGTAATTTCTTCTTTAATCAGAAGTAATACGTTGCCGGGTATCCGTTGGTGATAACCAAACTGGCAAAATACCCTACAGGGTTTGAGTGGCGCAACGACATCACCGCAGAGGAGTCATGTCTGAAATCCTAGATGCCTTGTCCCTCAAGACAAACCCTGGCAATACGACCTAGAAGAGTCGTGTACGGCATCCATACAAACTGTTGTGGTAATACAGTAAGAGATAGGAAATTAAAAGTCCGGCACCATTTAAAAAATTTAAAGAATATGTTACAGTAGTTGAAATGAATACTAACATCTGACTCTGCGAGAACTGCAAGCTGATCCCGGTAGGCGGCCCAATTGAACTGCGTGATACCTTAAACTTTTTTCTCACGGGACCACCTGCACAGAAAAACTAACATTAAATTGAAACATGACTGTACAAATCACAATGTCAAAATTTGAGGAGGTTTGATGTGTAAGATTATCTCGTGCCCAATGGACAATGAGAAAGATCAAGCTCCTCACCTGGTATCTTTAGCTAAACCGTCAAAATCCGCTCCCAAGCCCAGGGCTGATACAGAATTTATGAATCATTAACTAATATCACAAATAATTATGGGAGAATATAAAATGAAAAGAGAGGAAAATAAAAAGATAAAATATCTGAAGAAAAATCACATAGCCGGTAATAGCCTTTGCGGAAGCGGCCATAAATGACTAGGACATGCTGCGGTACAAGTAACATAGTGCCGCGCTACCCCAACTGTACTCCGAGCATATTTCGGGAGTATGCAGAAAATGCACAAGATCGAGTGAAAAACTGTTTCTCGTAGTGTTAGAGAACAGTAATCCGCCAACTAGCCATCCAACAAAACAACACGCTCGCTGTAAGTGTGCCTCGTCGGGGGACTGGTTTGTCAAAGGATTGTTCTCTATATTAGTCTTTATTTCAGTGATAGAAACACTAGTCAATTTGGACTCCTCTGTCTGGAACCTAAATCCAAACATTCTCTCCAAATAAGCAGCCCAACCACCTTCAGGCATGATATGATGTCCTGTAACCGGACGTCCATCAACCCGAAGCCCCAAAAGAACCTCAAAGTCCTACAATGTGATAGTAGCCTCCCCAAAAGGTAAATGAAAAGTATGGGTCTCAGGGCGCCACCGCTCCACAAGAGCTGTAAGCAGGGCATGGTCACATCTTATAGATCCAATTCTAGAAAACGGTCCAAAATCAAATTTCTCAATGTATTCATTTGTCATCGTCGGTGCATCTTTTATATATTTCCACGCTGCGCTATCTATGCGCCTGGGTTCTGAAATCCCTATATCATACTGTGCACCATGGAATATATTATGTGATCTGTGGGCGTTTTGGAGGTACAACAAACTATTGTCTCTAGATCCCTGCCATAGCTTTTTTGAGGTAGATTAGGAGAAAGAAAATGATCCAATCTCCATAACTATAACAATTTATAAACAATTTTAGTAAGTACGGATTAATAGCTATCAATATTTATTACCCAAAAAATTTAATTTAATTATCTATATATATTAAAAAATCCAACCCTAAATTTTAGTATGTACGAATTAATATTTATCAATATTTATTATCTTATTTTTTAATATAATTATCTATATAAATTAAAATCCAACCCCAAATTTTAGTAAGTACGGATTAATATTTATTAATATTTATTATCCTCAAATTTAATTTAATTATCTGTATATATTAAAAAATCTGACCCTAAATTTTAGTAAGTACGGGTTAATCTTTATCAATATTTATTATCTTATTTTTTTAATATAATTATCTATATATATTAAAAAATCTGAACCTAAATTTTAGTAAATACGGATTAATATTTATCAATATTTATTATCCTAAAATTTAATTTAATTATCTATATATATTAAAAAATCCAACCCTAAATTTTAATTTAATGACTTAATTTTATTATCCCTAATTTTTATTTTGAAAAAACCCTCTAAATCTACCCCTCTTATACCCAATACCAATACCCAACCTTATAAACCCAACGCTAAATTGTCTAAAATTAAAAAATAAATTTAATTAAAATTTATAGCTTTTCGCGTTTTTAAAATGTGAAAGTTCTATTCGCGTTTCTAAAACGCAAAATACAATATTCACGTGTTCAAAACGCTATTTTTAGTTTCCCTTTTTTAATTCCTTTTTTTTTCTTTCTTTCTTTCCAGATCAATTTGTGGAAAAATAATTAAAAGAATTCGCGTTTCACAAACGTGATTATTTAATTTAATTTTTTTGTTTCGCGTTTCAAATTGCGAGAAAATTAGAAATATCCAGTTTTAAACCATACACATTTTTTTGTCCACGAATTTGGGTCTGAGCCACCCTAAAGTGAAGCACCCCTCGTACATTCCACTCAGGTTAATGTAAGCCCTATCAAGTAAAAGTATTTTTTCTCTTCAACTGGAGTTACGAGATTTGATAGCAACTATCATCTTTCTTTTTCCTTCAGCTGTCTACAAAAATAACTTAGTAAAATGTCAGGCCTACAACTCTTACATTTTACCTCGTTGGCATAACAGCAAACGTTCTCTTTTCTTTCAGGATAGAGTTGTTTGGGCACATATTTTTCAGGCCAATTAATTAACATTTCGCTTGTTCTAACAAAACAACTATGAAAGGGACGAATTTTTAGAAAACAACTATGCCTTTTTTTCCGGACACGCAAGAAGTAACTAGGTAAAGAAAACATGCTGGAAATTACACTAATTTAGGGTATGTTTGTTTTTTTTTTTTTTGGAAGAATTAAAACAAGGGTGTACTTTTTTCGTAGGAATCTTTGTTTTTATTTTCTCCTACTTTACGACTCAATTAACTAGTGATTGAGTTTTACATGATAAAGATATGTTGTCGATTTAAATCAAACTAGTGTTTGTTTCTGATAATCTATCCCATCAATTCTCCATCAAACATAAAATCCAATAAATTCGAAAAAGCAGAATGAATTTGAAATCCCATAATAATGAAACAAAAAAATGAAACAAAGCAAATAAACCGGAACGAAATCAATCGCATCTTACCTTCATTAAGTTGACTAACCAAGTCCAGGTTTCCACCCTACTTCGGTTCCTTACCCTTCTTCCGATGAAACCATGCAGACAAAAAGTACGCCTTTTTTATACTAATCTTTGACTCCATTTACCAATGATTTATCCTGCATCACCCGTAAAAAAGAATCTCTTGAAAGGGGAAAAAGAAAATAAAATTCCATCATCCGTATGTTCAAGTAAAACCCATGAACAAAAACAAATTATCCAAATGAAATAAAGAATCATTAAAGATCCAAAAGGAATAAAAGAAAATCAGTGAACTCTCACCTTCATCAAATATGTAAATCCGATTGGACCATGTGAGAACAAAATGTAGAGCTAACTATAGAAGAACCCGGTTGAGGTTTTTTGGTAGACTGGGGGTGAGGGGAGTGGAGATTTTAGTATATAAAGAGATGTTGGAAAAATAGAGCCGCATTTATTGATTCTTCCACAGTTCCACTTTTGGTTATATTATTTGTTATTTTGGAGCCCGACGCTTTTATGAAAAGCTGATTTTGACAAATCGAAGATTAAATAGCAGCAAATGAAAAAGGGCTACTTCTTTCTTTTCAGGCTAATGTCAGGGCACATCGTGATAGGGATACTTTACATGTGTATTTTTTGTTTTTCGGTTTATTTTGCTTGTGTACATTCTTTTAAAGAAAAATTAAATTAATAATTTTACGCTGTCAACACACATTTTGCATTCATTATATATTTATCTAAAAATAAATAATAAAACAAATATTAAACATACGATTTTCCAAATTATACAAATTAGTTTAGCACTGGAGTGTGCGGTCTAAGCTTGAAAGGTCAACCTATGGAACTTTGAAGTCTGGCAATAATGGACATGCATTGATTCTAATGTTGACCAGTTCATTTTCCCGAAAGAGAGCAAAAACAAAAAAAAAAGTGGACAAATTATACTTTATCCATTTCAAAATATAAATCTTTTCACACTTTCCACGCAAACTAAGAAGATAATTATCTCACAATTAATTTATGTGTTAAATATCTATTTTACTTACGTTAAGTACATTGAAAGTATAAACAAGACTAAATGAAAATAAATTAGTATCATTTATTAAGGGTAAAGTTAGAAAATTAGTCATTAATTTGCCTAGATTTTGTAAAACGACTTACATTTTGAAAAATCTCTCCAAACCTAAAACTGACTTACAAATTGAAATGGAGGGAGTAGTAGATTGGAAATGGTGGAAAGTAGGACACCACTTGAAAATGTGATCG